GCGAAACCCACAAATGGTGGTTTTATTTGTAAATTGTTTTCTAAAGGGGATCAATTAGCAATCAAATTGGCCACCCTGATTTTTTCCAAAATTAGAGATGGACCCTAGTTTTCACTATTTGGGGGGGGTTTAGTAATAGGGGGAAGGGACTAGAGATAAAAAAAAATCACAAGCCTTTCCCACTATCATCATTGACCTAGACACGTTCTAAGTGTTAAATTCCCGGTACGTTCTAAGTGACGAATCTCGATATCACCACGTTCTAAGTGATGAATTTCCTGCGTTCCAAACCTTATACTTAGAACGTCCTATATGCGTTGGATAGCCAGTTTTTTTTTCCAAAATACGTTCTAAGTAATTGTCCGGCACTTTACACCAAAACATCGGTGAACGTGTTTTTTGTTTCAAAGCGCGCGCGAAAAAAACCAAACATAACATTGAAAACTAAATTTGCCATTTGTGTTGCGTAGTTGGACGTTGTGCATACGGGGCATCATTGTTCAAAATTCCCGCGTTGTTTTTTTTTGACATCGGCTTCAATAACAATTTCGCATGTTCGCTCCATGGGAGGATTCTAATTTGCGTTTTTGAATCTCATTCACCTGCAATACTCACCTTACCCACCCCATCCTTTTCCGCTTTGTCAAGCACATCTTGAAAACGGGTTGCACGCAGGTCGAACTTGTTATGATCTGCAAATTCCATGTTTGAAAAACCACCATTCAACACATTTGTTTCAACCAATGGGTCCTATTATTTGGCCATGATCGTGGGCCCCAGCGTAGTTGAGGGCTGCGGCGTCAGACCTCTGTCCGATGGCGAGGCGACAACATGGTGCTGCCTGTGATACCGAGATACCCACAACTTGCAAATTTTAATCAGGAACAAAATGATCCAACACCAAATTTTTGGGGTACAAACACCGTTTTTTTCTTGCAAAACAAAGCATTCGACCAACATTTCAACTATTTTTGAAAATCATTTGGCCTTTCAATGTCACTATTTTCCATGATTGTTGATGTGCACAGTATGTTGTTTCTTGTGCCCATGAAAGTGGCACCTAGGTTCTGAGTCAAACCGACCTTTTCAATCTTCAGTCCTTTTTCAAAATATATGTACACATATATATATATTATATATATATATATGTACACATATATATATGTACACATACATATATATATATATATTTATATATACATATATATATACATATATATATACATATAAATATATATATACATATATATATATGTATATATATATATATATACATACGTATATATATATACATATGTATATGTATATGTATATGTATATGTATATGTATATGTATACGTATACGTATCCGTATATGTATATGTATACGTATATGTATATGTATATTTATATGTATATGTGTATGTGTATGTGTATGTGTATGTGTATGTGTATGTATATGTATATGTATAGGTATACGTATACGTATATGTATATGTATATATGTAAATATGTAAATATGTAAATATGTAAATATGTAAATATGTAAATATATGTATATATAAATGTATATATGTATATGTATATATATATATATAATGATTTACCGATGGTGACATCTAACTATTGGTCTATGCATCTGGGCGCCAGGTCCGGGTTGCGGCATGGCGCCTTCCAGGGCCTCGACTCCAGGCCCTGGGGGCCCTAGGACCGGGGGTCTGGGGACAAAAATCATGGAAAATGATGAAAATGGATTTAATATTGTGGTTTTTTGAGTGATGATAAGGTTATTAGGTTTTTAACCATGGTGTGTTTTTTTTTTCAACATATGTTTTTTTTCCCCCATCTGAACATGTGTTTTTTGTCAGAACATTTCTTTGATTTCCAGCATGAAACTTGATGAACTGATGAACCGTGACCATTCCATTTGGTAAACTAGAAAATTTGACTGCTGTTAGGGCGGTTTTGACAATGTAAATCATGAGATGTGGGGATTTTCACCAGCAAAAGTCAGGATTGAATTCATTTGAAAAACAATTCCTAGGTTTTTTTTATCAATATGGTGATTTTTACATCAAAAACAGGGAATCATACTTTGACACAACACAATCAAACATAATCAAAATCATTTTTATTTAACTGTCAACCATCACATTATCATATATTTGAAACATAAACAACGGTGATATTCCAGTAACTAACATACGTTGTGATTTTCACCAGTATGGGTCAAAATTTAGGCCACATGTTTTTGGTTATGTTTGGCGTACAATAATCACCATATTATTTCGTAAAATAGTTTTTTTCTGGTTCTCGCGACGATGTGTAAATTTAGCAACATCGGTTTTTTTCTTTTATTCCAAACGCATTACTCCGCATTTTTCTTCAAAACGTTTGACACGGTTTCGTTTTCCTTCCCAGTTCTTACTGGAGAAACTGTTGTGCAGGTGGCCTGTCTACGCCCGGAAGCGGGGTGCGACAGGTGGCTCAACAAACCAATGAGGATCCGTAGCCACCTGCTGGGACTACATCAGTTGGGCAATCTGGGATTGTCTGAAAATAGTGTACCCCTAAACCCAATGGTTTTGCTGATCATTATCCCTATGAAAAATGGCTATAATTGGTCTGAAAATGTAGAGAAAACCCCTGTGTACCCAATGGTTTTGCTGATCAGACAATCCCTATGAAAAATGGCTATTTCATTGGGAAGATTCACCCAACATTTTCAGACAAAGCCATCTGGAGAGAAGATTTTTGTGGCACAGTTTCAGAGACCCAAAAGACAAATCATCCCATTGTATTCTTGGAATTTTCAGACACCTTGACAAATCGTTGCGATAGACGATGGCTTGACCGGCCCCAACTCTATCATCCAATGGCCACCTTGGGTTCCACAGTTACAGACCCATTTCTTTGTAGGTGATACACCTCCATTCTTGTCGAGCCATGATTTGCGTCCCAAAATGGCCCGATTTGTTTTTTTTCTTTTAAAGAAATAAGGTCTTTTTCCTTCATTTTAGAGGAATTTCAAGTTTGCAACCCTTAACATCACCCGGTCGCCGCCAGGTGCCGCTGGTCGATTTGTATCGCCCCAGGAGCGAGGCCAGACGATGTCTGGAGTCGGAAGTCGTCAGGCGGCGAGGAGGAGCCTGGTGCTGAGCTGGTGATTTCATGGCTGGAGGAATCCAGAAAAATGATGAAAACTGATGAAAATTCATGGTTCATGCTGGGGCTGAATGATTGTATATATAAAATTATACAAATGAACATCGCAGCCCACACCTTTTTGTCCATATTATTGATGATTAACCATCAAAGATGGCGGTTTTAAATGCTTTGATCATCCTGGAATGGGGATATATGATGGCCAAGATGATATATGGAGATATGTATATATATATATGATATGATATGATATGATATGATATGATATATATATATATATGATATATATATATATATATATGGTATATGAAGGCCTGGAGGGTGGTCTCCCTGAGCCTCCCAGGTCACTTCCTCTGAGAAGGATCCGGGTCGACCTCCCCGGACGGCTCGGGGTGCCTCTAGGGGCTGGGTCTATGCGGCTTGGCTGCAGGGATGGGCTGATGAAGGCTGCTGAACGTCTCATGAGATCTGGGAATCTGGGACTTTGCATTCCTGTGAAGTGGATGGAAACTAGGTGGGGTCTCAAGTTGTGTTTCCAAAACATGGATGGGTGATGCAGTTGACACATGTAGTTCTCCCCGAGCAGACCCGATTTCTGCCCAGCCATGTCACTTTCCCGCCCAGAGCCCTACGACCTGGTATCGTCCGAGAGAACCAGCGGGGGAACCAAGCCAAAGGGATGGTAGTCTCGTTTCAAGCAAGGCGTCACAGTGTGGAATGATTTTGGGCAGTGAATTTGGTAATGTCTTCAGGCCCGCAGGTCAGAGATTCAATACATTCAATACATTTCACCCAGGACAACGATTAATGATGATTTTTTTGGGGTAGAAATATGAGGTCCGGGACCAGATCGGCCGATCCCCAGGATCAGGGTGCGAGACCCGGAGACCCTTTCCCAAATCTCTCAAGCCAAGGTGGAGCCTGCTTTGAGGTGCGAATGCCCTTGGATTCACTCGAGACCGGGATCAATCCCAGGAGTTGGCAAGTCTACCATTGCTGGTCCGGAAAAAAAGATCATAGATGATCATAGATGTATATGATGTATGATCTGTCTTATCTTATCTCATCTTACCACATCTGAATCTACTGTAATTGTAATTGAACTCGAAGTCCAACTCCAATCTAAACTCAATCTCATATGATCGGATATAAGTTCCGTCTATACCTGACATATTCACATATACATCATTATACATCGCCTGATCAAAAACAAGCATCAATTTCCCTACCGCTATCATACAGCAAGAACGGACCCTGCCAGGTCCAGCCCTGTGACTGGCTTCGAGGTGGGTTTACCACATGAACCTCGATTTAGGGGTAGATTCAGACGACAGACGCAGACACATTTTCGTGAAGACGTATAATAAACATATATAACTACAAAATTAGTATAATTATATATATCTATATTGTCTCTCTCTATATATATATAGTAAAAAGTTTAAATAGTTTGAATATTTTCAAACATCGGTTTGGTTCACTTGCATGTCGTGTGCGATGCTTCTTTTTTTATAAGGGATGGGATCCTGTTGGAAGCCTGTTTGGAAGTTGGGCGTGTGCATGTCTCCAGCTGCTGGTCAAGCACATGGAAATGACAAGAGAATTTAAAGATGCCATGGCTCAAGATCCCCCAATCCTGTTCTGTCACAATTTTTGTGAATTTCCCATCCCAAAAACAAATTTCAATTCCAAACAATCATCAAACATTCTCGAATCATGCCTAAACCTTCCCGGATTTTTCCTTTGGCTTTTCCAATAAACCCTTCCCAGCCGTTCCGCACCATTCCGCAAGCGACGCTTCGCGACGCTTCGCCATGCCGCCGACGATCACCATCCCGGCGAAGATTTTCTTCCAGGTCACCTGCAAAGAGACCAACGTGGGCGACACCGTCTGGGTGGTGGGATCAGTGCCTGAGCACCTTGGCCTTGGATGGGGGGGTTGCCTCTGCCAAAGGTGGGGCGGTTTTGGGGCTCTGGAAAAATGAGGGATAATGGAGGCTTGAGCCGACCAAAACGAGGGTGGACAGCTCAAAAAAATGATTTGTGGGTTCCGCCTTGAGTTTGGAACTGTGTGCTTTGGACCTCCCAGGCTTGGCAGTTGGGAGGTGAAGGAAGGCCTCCAGTTGGAGACGACGGCTGACAGCTTTCCGCTTTGGAAGTCGCCTCAAGTGCCTATCATTCCTGGGAAGATCCAATTCAAGAGACTTGGTGAAACAATGGCGGGTGGAGGTGGGCCACTGGGTCAGAGGGGGCCATTGGTGATGCCTTTGCATAGATCGTCAGGATCGTCATCCTTTCAGAAAATGGCAATGCGCGCTGGGAAGGCACCAAGAACAAGGACGTGTGCCGCAGCTGCAATTTTCGAGAGAAAACATCGCCAAAGAAATATGGCCAAATCACCAATGATGGTGGGTTTGTTGCAGCATCCTTTGTGTGTTTCTTGCAACCATGATCATTGAAATCCATGGAAATCCGTAAATGTTGACAATGAACGACACTATTTGCAGGATTTCAAGAGGATTTGAGGCCAGCAAGAACATGTTCAAAAAAACCAAGGCAGACCTTCGAGAGCAAAAGGACCCAGGTCCAATGTGCCTTCAATAGCCACTGGATGCGAAGCTCTGAGACGTGGGATATACTGGCACAATTGCGCGGCTGTTCTTCCAAAAACACTCATGGTTTGTCCTCATAAAAGAGATGCTCATGTGGGTGACGCCAACTTTTGTCACAATATATCATACATATCTCCACAGTCATCCGCATGGGAGCTAGGCAATGCAAGGCAATACTTATTCATTTGGAATTTTGCCTGAGGGAACCATGATTTATTGGCCCCAATTTTTGGCACCCTCTCAACTTTATACTTGGGGTCTGGAATAATGGCTGGACCTTCAAAGACCAAGAGGCAGTTGGAGGCATCATTTTCTGGAGATATTCCCGCTTGAAGAATATGGGGTCTGGGTGGAATTTTCAAGGCCAACATCAACTTACTATATGGGTTGATTTGAACATAGGGTACCCATTAGACTTGCCATGACTTGTGCTTATTCGACCCATCTTCAGACAAATCCAAATGGTTTTTAGTCAGTGACTGGGTTAAGTCAAGACATGGTTTTCCTATGTTTTTCCTGTAGACCTCCCTTTACTCAACTCAATCTGTAGAAGTGCCCTCCGGAATTTGAAGAAAGCGATGGAAAATGGTCCATTGATGATTTACATTGGATTTATATTGGATTTACATTGATTTACCATTGATTTACCATTGATTTACCCTTGATTTACCTATTTTTCAGATGCTGATTTTCCACTTGTTCAACGACCAGTCCGTCTGGTGACTGGCTCATAGTCATGGTGATCGAATCTTTCAGGTGACGACATGCTGTGCGCCACCATGAAGATGACCGAGAAGGACGAGACGAGAAATATGACCGGGGGGATTTCATCATGATGGGTTATCTTTCAGCATCACATGGGGATATGGTATGGAAATGGTATGGAAATGCTATGGATATGGTATGGATATGGTATGGAAATGGTATGATATAAGCTGGGATCAGCAAAGTAAAAACAAACAGCCTTTCAATAGTTCTCAACATCTTGATTTTTGTTCCTCAAAGATCGGCAGTGTCCCGGGGGGCTTCATCAATATAGGGATTGCCAGTATATCCCAGTCTGTTTGGATTCCACTACTGGATGACGATGATCACCCATAAACCATGTTCGGACCATGGGTGCATATAATATGACTGGGGTTATTTCAGGTTATTTCATGTATAACGAATCATCGTCATGAGCCAATGTAATGTTTGTTGTGGCGCCAAGTTTTTAACCCGCCAAAGGTGTTACTTACAGAATCCTGCATGAATGGTGGGGATGGGTGAAATTCTCCAGGCCTCCAGGCCATGGATAGTTTCAGATCGTAAAGATGATCAGCCATTTGTGGATTGATTGGTACCCCACACCCAAATGACAGCGCCCCATTGTGGACAAACCCATATCTCATATCACATTGGTGAAATACATATCCTGGTTGGTTTCATACCCTCATTTTGTCTTGGAATTTCAAAGAATTTAACATCTCCCCCGTGATTGTCCAATTGGTTGATCCGCACTGTTGTTGACTTCTGTACACCCCTATTGGGGGATTGTCACCAACACCCATTATTTTTGGATCCCCACATGAAAACACCAAAAAGGGATCCCCCGATCAATCCCACAAGGTGGGGGTTCAATAATGTTCAATTAATATCTACCGTAAACCACAGAATGCCACAGAGCTATGTTCACCAGCGATATTGCTAGCGCGGCCACAAATGCAGCCCATGGCACACCCAGGACCTCGAAGCCGCCGGCGTGAAGCTGAGCAAGGCCCAGATGGACCCTGCGCCGGAGCCGGCTGCGCCGGAGCCCGCGCCGGCCACGCCGGACACGGCGGTGCCGCCGGAGACGGAGCAGGGTGAAGGCTACCCGGCTGAGGCCGGTTGTGGGTGATGTGGGTGATAGGGGGATGGTTGGGTTGGGTGATCCATGGCAACTGGAAAATCATCTATAAAGGTAAGATAAGATTGATGTTCATTGGTGTGTTGGATGGAGGGTATTTTGGGCATGTTTGTCCATTGAAAATGCTCAAGAAATGACACTTCACCTCTTTTCTTGGGGGTTGGTGGTGTGGGGACTCGTGCAAGCCCGAAGTTGCTTCCCAAAACTTACGGGGTCTCCAAATGGGGTCTGAAAATAGGCTACCCCATTCCATCCACTGATTAATCCTCATTTTCCAAATAATATTGCCATGACGGTCTACCCCATTTTCGGACATCTTGCCAGAATCGGGATGAACTTTGTGGGGTGTCTGCCCTGCAGGTCCCTGAAAGGACGGTGCCCTTGAAGACTGAGGTGCAACGGCACCGGTGGGTTCCACATTTTTGGACAGCCATCTAGCGCTTGCTGGTCATAGAATCCCCACTAACAGCCTCGTAAATCTCAATGGATACCGGTTGTATCCCGGATTTTGTTGGACATGTGTGATCTCTGCCCTTCCCTAGCATAGCTTTCTGCACTCCCCAACATCTTGATGTGGAGTTTTTCCAGCCACTTTTCAGGACGGCCCTCCCATGCAGAAGTCTCAGTGCCCTGACTAAAGCTGCCAGGGGGAACGGATCCCTGAATGATCCTTGTTGCAATTTCCTCTCCAGAATCGGGGGGGGCTGGCACCCCAAAAACATTCGATTCTGGAAAGCCCTCCTGCACCCCTACTTTGCTACAAAATCAAAGACCATGGGCTGGCAAGCACCCAAAAACCACCAATTTTGGACATTTTTGGACTGTATCTTGGTAGGTCCCTGATTCTGTAAATGGGGGCCCCAACGTTGAGCAGAAAGTGTACAAAACCTTACATTTTGGTCAGGGAACTGATTTTGTAGACATAAGGCTGGCGATACCCTAAGGTCTTTGATTTTCTAGTAAAGCATGCCCCTCAATGTCATATCTTCAGATCTTGATTATGTAGTGGTGAGAGGTGGTAGGAGGGAATGACCTTGATTCTGTAAAGGATACTGTAGTTCCCCAACATATTTTTTTTGATGCTTTCAATTTGTGAGGTTATTGATTTTGTAGAAAAAATGATTTTGCCTTGTCAGATGTTTTTTCTGTGGAAGGTTCTTGATTTTGTAGAAGGTAACATCCTAGTCTGGAGAGCAGACATTGATTTAGCAAAGAGTTTTTTTGGTGCCTGACCTTGGGGCCCTCTACTGAATCGAGGGGTCCAGCACCCCCCCCAATTGCAAGGGGGATCCTGAATGGTTAGAGTCACCGAGACTTGGGGCCTTTTCTTTAGACGAAAGTCTCCAATGTCAAACGAAATGCTCCCGGATGGTCGGATGAATTTTCATCACATTACAGCATATTCAAATCGACCCTTCATGATTGGGGAGGATCCCTAAAAAGTGCTCCTGTGGCACTGAAATAGGACCCCTTCATTTGTGAAGCCAACCAGGGTTGTCCAACCCAACCACCGAAACAAAGGTCGCGGCACTTGTTTCGTTTGTCGGATGGCTCCATGCAGATGGATATGACCAAGACGCCCTCGTTGATGATGATGGACCTAAACAGTTTCATGGAAGAAGCCGAAGCTGGGCGCCAAAGAGCGGCAGCTCAAACTGATGGGTGAAGCTGTGCTGGGTAAAATGCTATGAGAATGTATGAGTCTGAGTGGATCAATCAAGATGGTTTGTGAATTGGCTCTGGAGACACATTTCTATTTTTTTTCGGCCTTGGCTGGGGTTGTCCAAGATTTTTTAAGCTAAGGAAGCGGAGGAAAAGCATGTGAACGAGCTGGAGGAACGTGAGCGCTTGAATCAGCAGCAGAGGCCACCGGCGGCCACCGGGTTTTTCGGGTTCCGGCTGGGTGACCTCAAGGGTTTCCGTGGCTCAGGCGATTGGCGAGTGGTGCCTTACTGCAGGAGAGATTTGCCGGGAGAAATATGAGATGATGAGATGATGAAATGAATGACCTGTGCTGCTTTCCTTTCAGCTCCAAAAAAGTCTGATGAAAGATGAAACTAGCTACTACCCGAATGTCATAGCCAATCATCATTTTTCACATGGCCACAGGTTTCCTAAATGGGGGTACCCCAAGTCACCATGGGTTTCAATACCAGTCGTAATGGTCATCCATGACGACTGGGGGTACTCCCGACACGTCCCAGGAGATGAAGAACATCACAGATGCGGCAGATGCCTCTGACACGGTGCTCCTGCAAGGTGGCTTATCCCAGCGGCTGGAGAACTCTGCAATGGTCTTGAAGTCATGTTACCAGTTGACTGCAGGATCAGAGATTTTGACCCAGTTGTGTAAAACATCCAAGTTTCATCAGAAATTTGAGAGCCAAAATCTGGGATCTCAGTTGTGTAAAAGGTACCAGAGATCTAACTTCTCCCAGATTTTGGCTCCTGAAACTCCAGTGGCTTCAGCTGCAAGGCTTCAACTGGGAAAGCCATCAAGCTGGCAAGGGCAATTGGTACGGCATCGTGGAATCCAAGGTAGGACCAGAAAGGGACCCATTGGTACGGCAGTGGATGCGAGACAAAACCCTGGTTGGTTGATCATTTTTTTTTGGATTCTACATGATTCTACTAGCCATTTTATTGGCAGAATCCATGAACTCTGGGAATCCCATGGGAATCCCGTAACTTTCCGATTCCATGATGGGAATTTTTGGTGATGATCGATCCGTCGCCGTCGCAGGTGGAGATGTTTGCCGACATGGGCATCACCGACATTTGGCTGCCGCCCTGTTCGCAGTCCGTGGCGCCCCAGGTCACCTTGGGGCACCAACTGCTTGATGTTTAGTTTGTGACCTTTTAAGTGTACATAGTTGATAGATGTTGATAGCAACCATGAAAATGGTGAAATACGGGTCTAAGAGATTATTCATCATTTAAGGCCTATATAATACAGATTTTTCTCCTATGAATCATCCAATACTGGCAGCTCCAACCCTGACGTTTGATTGCGGAGCTCTTCTCGAGACTGAGGCAAGAAAGCCCGAAACCCCTAAGAAATAAAAACAATTTCCTGCGTGCAGCAAGTGTTTTGTGCACATTTCCAATCAATGCTTAGGGCGTGTGGTCAAACGTCAGGGTTGCGGACAACTTTTTTTTCCAAACATTGAAATGATCAAGTCACTCACTAGGTGCAAGCGCTTTTGGCACCAGAATTCTTGAGCTTTGAGACCTAGATATATACACACATTTATACATGGAGGTTTCCAAAAATTGGGGGGTACCCCTAAAATTTATTGATGGATTTTTCATTATAAACCCTCCATTTTTGGACCCCCATTTATGGAACCCCGCATATCATACACTGTATACATGTATATATATATATATAAGACTTGATATGCAATATTCATTCGATTTCTGGATGGAGCCTTGGGCTTGGCTAGGGCTATTTGCCTTCGCAGCTCTTCAACTTGGATGCTTCGGCCTACGGCAAGAAGGCCTAGCAACGGTGGTGGTGGTGGTGGTGGTGGTGATATTGCTATTTGTATTGTTACTGTTGTTGTTGTTGTTGCTGTTGCTGTTGCTGCTGTTGCTGTTGACATTATTATTTTCAATATCATCATCTGGTTGGTGGTTTCAAACATTTTTTATTTTCCATAATATATGGGATAATCCTTCCCATTGACTAATATTTTTCAAGATGGTTAAAACCACCAACCAGTCATTATCATTTGAGTATTGCAGTATTTCTGTGGTAAACCCAACAATAAACCATCAATTTTGGATGGTTTCGACCACCCATTTATGGCATTCTTGCTGACTAAGTCAACCATGACCTACGAAAGGACCAGCTAAAGCAGCTGCTGGCTGCGATGCGACAGAAGGCGCACTGGTGGCCCTGGGATGGAAGATGAATGGCATTTGGGGAGGACATCATCTGATTTAACCATCAAAACATGGGCGTACAACTCAATGGATCAGTGAATGATCAGTGATATAACCATCAATGAGGGGATACTTTTTGGATAAATCAACAGAGATACATAAACAAATAATCAATCAAAACGGCGGTATAGCGAGGATACTATGGATATACTAGGGGATATTGTGCAGATTTCCTTGTCAATTTCGAACAACTTATTTTGTTCAAGGTTTTGCTGCCAAAACAAGTGATGAACAGTTGAGTCTTGTTCCCAAAGTTAGGGCCGTGGTGCGTCTCCTTGGTTCTCCTTGGTTTGGCGCGTTTCTGCGCGCCGTTTCGCGCCCAGGGCATCCGGGGTATGGCGGACATCGTGATCAATCATCGATGTGGAGACCAGCAGGAGTTCGGACCAAAGGCTTTTGATGTTTTGGGTATCCTCTGGTAATTTAACATAGCTATGGAAAATCACCATTTTTAATGGGAAAATCCACTATAAATGGCAATTTTCAATAGTTATGTTAGTTTACCAGAGGGTACTGGGGTATTGGTGGGAGAATCTACTGATGAAACCCCTACATTTGCTGGAAGGAAAACTCCGTGAAAACCCATGGGTTTCCTGTAGATTCTCCCCGACTCGCGTCAGATCTCACCGACTTGCGACACCAGGATGAACAGGGTCGCTGGAACGTCTTCACCACCACGGGCATTGAGAGTCGCAAGAGTTTCGCGGGGGTGATGGATTGGCAAGGCAGGAAGTTGACATTTTGAGACATGCCCTGCATTCAATGGTGGCTGGTAAATCCCCTAGCAATGGAGGTTTTAATGATTTTTATGGGCAAACAAAACTGGATTTGCTCATTTTTTGAGGAATTTGGAGTTTACCCTAAATTGACAGATTGACCCTGAAAATCACCAACTTTGACTGAAAACTAATCTTCAAACCCCCAACTCATGGCACGGTCTATGTTGATTTACTGAATGGTAGGTTGGCTTTAGGTTGTAGGCTTAGGCTTCAGGGCGGACTTCACATCTGCGATAGGAGTTTCCCTCAAGTTAAGGCCCTGAAATCAGGGGAAAGCTATTCTCGAAACCATGTCGTGATGTAATGGCTCTCCGAAATGGAGGCCCAGAAAAAAGACGAGAACTTCGGAATGTCACCCATAAACATGGCATGATTAGGTCAGACTTTTTTGGCCCGGTGGTTTCAAATATTTATCATCTTGCATCCAGAAGCAGAATGCTAATTCCAATGGAGTCATATCTCTTAGGTGGGTTGAAACTACCAATCAGTTTGGTTTCAGAACATGTACAGATTAGCTTGCCATGGCTTACCCATCCATCTACAAGAAGATGCATCCACCATAAATCCGAAAAAAAACCATTCGGCTATAGTTACTTTACCATACTTTACCAACTTTACCAACTTTACCAACCATTAACCATAGTAACTTTAGATAAAGTAGCTTACTTACCATAGTTACCATAGTTGCTAGAGTGACTTAACCATAGTTCCCCACCATAACTGACCACCAACCATTCCCAGGCTGCTTTCCCTCTCGTTCCAGGCTGGGCCATCACTTTGGGAGACAAATTCTCCGATGGCACTGGTGAACGAGGTCCTGGCCAGTGACCGGACAGGGGGCGGCAAAAAAGGGGCAGGGAAAGAATGAAGTGATCAGAGTTGGGTGAAATTTTCCTGATATTTTTTGATTTCATTGCTATGTATACCTCCAAAACTCCAAATGATGGGAGGTTTTGATGGGTATATTAACCAATGATTCTTGCTTGGTTTCGAACATGTTTTTTGTTTCGGATGGGTTGAATCGCACACCAGTCTTTTCACATTTTTTTTGGGAAGCGGTCCGGGACCAAAGCCACCTCCATTTTGGCAGGTTTTCGTTTGTAAACTGTGCAATCTTGAGGTACCCCATTTTGAGACCCAACCAAAATAGTTGGCTGATGGAAAGACAATGCCTTCCCAAAAAGATCTGCAGTCCCTAGTCAGGCTCGTCAAAGGGTAGAGATGTTTTTGTGTTTTCAGGAATCACAGATTGACAACGGGATTGTCACCACAGTCCCTAGCCACTTGCCAAAAGAGACATCCACCTGTATAGAAGGTTCGGAACCTGACAACGGCTAGTGAGAGTCGTGAGAGAGGTACGATGACAAGTTTGATGCTGCGCCGGATATTGACCACGGGAACAAGAAGGTGCGGATTCTTTTGCAGGGAGGGGTGTGGGACAATCAAAGGCAGGTGGATGACTGGACTATGGAAATTGTCAAGTATCTAAGTATCTCCATGATTGCTGGTTGTATTCTCAATTTTGATGTGTGACATGCCCACTTTTCCATACAACTTTCCATGTGGTTGCTCATTGCGATGCATTTTTGAACAACCAGAAAAAGGTCAACCACGTACCAATCACGTTGCTGTGCTGTGGAGAAAACTGTACGCCTTTCAGGATCTTTTTCTCAGGATCTGAGTGACTGAAAAACCCTGTGAAATTTCGCAGCAATCTAAACTGTTCAACAGGTACATTGTTTTTCTTCAGTCCCAAAATGGAGGTTTTGTCATCGAATGGCAAGTTCCTTTGGGTCTTTTTTTGGGAGATAAAGCAAAGGTCAAAGGTCAAAGGTCATTCAACACCAGTGTTTGGCGTAGAGACGAGTTGAGCTGGTTCTACTGGGTGATTTGAGATCATCTGGGTACAGTTCAAGATTCTTATCACCCTACGCATGGTTTGGAGGGTTGAACAAAGACATCTCACGAAAGCTAAGGGTTGCTGGAGTTTCTTCTTGCAGAAAGGAAACAGGCGGATCAAGTGTCCATTGTCCACCGGCCAACTGCATTCCTAGTCATCTTAAGACTCGGTGCTACCCCCGATTGAAATACGGTATTCCACGGTTAAAAAACAAGTAGGGTTGAAACTTCATTCTGGACCCACGATCAAATCTGTCAAAAACGAATGAAATAGCACGTCTTGACAAAATTAGAGCCGCCAGCTCTTGGGCAATGGTCCTCTCTTTTAGGGCTGTGGCCAGCCGTTCGTTGTGGTCGTCCCGCAGTCGTTTTAGTTGCGTACGAGCAAAGTATCTCAGAACCCAGGATTTGGTTGCCTCATTCAATGCCAGAGCTACTATTTGCTGATGACCGGACTGCATCAAGTCACCTTGTCATATATGTGGGTGCATCGCAATAGACCAGTAAAGGCACGCGAAGCAGGAACTGGCAGCGACCCGCGCGTAGACAATGCTAGTCTGGCGCGCACGTTCTAGGAAGCACGACCAATTGGTAGTTTTGTTGTTGGCCAACCAAACGCGCAGTTTTGTGGCATTGGACATTGACCCAGGTGCAGCAAAGCATTGCCATTTGGATGCGCTGGCTTCGTCTGGACGTCGGCTTTGACGCCTGGAGGTTTGATTTTGTCAAAGGCGCCATGGGCTGGGCCACTGCCATGCAGACACCCAAGGCATGCGAAACTTGCCGGCCAACACTTGAACGTGTCATTGTTTTTGGGGTTGTGCCGTTCATTTTTGACCCCCAACCTTGTCAGCAATCATATCCCACAGTTTTGTTGGCTGCACGTCTCGGTTTGTCTAATTGCCCCACGGCCAGGTTATGGCGCGGAGTATGTGGGCCTTTACTGCAAGAAGAGCCACCCCAGCTGGGCTGTGGGCGAGTTGTGGCTGGACATGAGGCGGGCGGGACGTAGGTGGCAACGCGCACGAACGGTGAAATTGATCAAAACCAAAAAAGGACTGATCTACGCTCTGGTAATTTCACATTGCTATCGAAAACCATTTTTTTCGATGCAAAATTTCGATTTTCATCCATTTTGCCTTGCTAGCTTAAATTATCGGAGGGTAAAAAATGCGCGCGCGTTCAGCAATTGATTGGGGGTGCCCGTGATATTTTTGTAGCAGACACGCTCACTTAAACAAAATTCAATCAACAGTTGGTTTTCAACTCACTGCGCATGCCACGTCGTGAATGAATCAACTTCCATGTTACGGCTGCTTCCAACTTGGCAGGTACGACGATTCAGGTTTGTGCTATGACCAAAACGAGCACAGGTGCCTCGCGCGTGTGGGATTAGCAGTTAATGAATAGCTGCCCGCTCAGGGATTTTGATCATAATTATAATTTGAGAGCACCGATTTTTTTTTGACTACTTCGCCCCATTACCAAGTAGTTCCAAAAACCATCAATTGCGGTAGGTCAGAGCTGAGGGAAACCCATCGGATTTTGGCCAGGCAAAACACCATCAATTGGATCAATGCCACGGACAAAGAGATGCTGGGACATTGAATATTGTGCATCGCTCAAACTTGGTTCAAGTAGTGGCCAACCCATTCGAGGGTTTGGTAAGCGCATCTCACCTTAGGATTTTTAACCATAGTTGTTTTGATTAAAATATACTTAGATCTCCTCAAGTTTTGGATCCGTTGATCCCTTCGAACCCCAACAAACCCATCGGTGGCGAAGGAGCGCTGCCTTTGACTTCACCACCAAGGGCATTCTTCAGGAGGCGTGCCGTAACACGCAGTACTGGCGCCTGAAGGATAGCGAAGGGAAACCTCCAGGCGAGGCCGTGAAACCGTGGCTTCCCTGGGTGAAAGGTGTGGTTTCTGCAGATTTTTGTTTGGGGGATCCAACTATTTTCCAAGTGTGAAATGTATTTGTGACACATAAGTCATGATAGACCAGAAACTGAGCAATGTTTTTCCGAATACCAAGGATAGTCTATTTCTGTAGTATTACGCGGCATTTCCCACCAAGCTAGGACGGTCTTTGGTTCCTGGTTTTTAGAGACTCCAAGATCGGTCACTTACTGTCAAACAACATGTGGGGTACCCTCTGGTAATTTAACATAGCTATGGAAAATCACCATTTTCAATGGGAAAATCCACTATAAATGGCCATTTTCAATAGCTATGTTAAATTACCAGAGGGTACTTAGAGGATAGTCTTCATCAGTCTGGATACTAAGCAGCTGGGGTGATGCCAGTGACTAGTCCAGGCCTGTTGGGCTGGATGCCAACCCAAGCTGTCACTTTCCTGGACAACCACGACACGGGCAGCACGCAAGCGCACTGGTGTGGCAGCCCGGGCTATCCGGATGGGTCAAACTTGGGAGCCGCAGAAAATTGGGTTACTGTAAGTTAAACTCATGTAATAAAAAAGGTATGTATAATAGCACCCCCGAAAAAGATCGAAAAGTAAAATCCCACTAAGATGCTCTAAAGTGTTATAGATTTCACCTTTTCGTCGTCTTTTTTTTGGGTTCCTCAACGATGTCGTAGCTGAGGCCCTTTCCCGGAGACAAGGTCCTGGTGGGCTACGCGTACCTCCTGACCCATCCAGGCGGCTCAAGTGACGCACCAATCTCCAAAACTGATTCGTAGACATGGCAGTTTTTGAGAAATTCCCTTCGACTTTTCGTTTTATTTTGGGATAATGATAGTTTGATATACTGTAATTTATACATAATCACCAGTAGAAATTATTGAAAAGAATTCCTGTTGAAGATCGGACCATTTCTATAGATTCTGATCATTTTTGAATCGTTCATTATAACCATCACAGAACGCTCAACGACGCCATGCCAGGCATTCCCAGCATCTTCTGGGACCATGTCTGCGACTGGGGCGACGACTGCCGGGAGCGTATCAAGGTGTTGCTGAAGCTACGCCAAAAGGCGGAGATCAAGGCGAGGCAGCGTGGAATGTCCCAGTTTGTACAATGGTAAACAGCTGTTTTTTTTTATTTTCATGGGGATTTGGCCCAAGAGCTGGATGGTTTTTCTGATGGAACATCTTATTTAAATGGATGATGCTATGGGGTGCCCCCATTTCAACGCCCTTTTTTGTGGATGGGTCAAGTTAGCAACATGGGGGAATCAACATCCAACAAAAATGTGTTTGTCTGAAAATGGGGTATGCTCCAAACAAACCCCTTAAGTATACATCATACATAATGTATATATATATATATACACACTATATTATAATATATATAATATATATATATAGATATGAGATATGTATGTTCTACATGTTATATGTATCATCTAGCAAAATTTTGTGACGTATAGCACTATTATCTATGTGATATGTTCTATAAAACTGGGCTTCGATTGCACTAGAACGATGGGTTGAGAATTGGCCAAATGCCGTGCCTTGAATGTCATCCCAAGCCATTTTCGCATCATCAACCAAAAAAGACACCTTGAAGCCCTCAGTTTAGTAGGAAATCATCCCATGGTTCTAGGAAATCATAGGAAATCATAGGCCATGTGTGCGTCACCATAGTTTGGTCACATGAATTTTCCATCTGGAGTAAACCACTGCCACTGGACAGGTTGATGCAAAGGTGAAGATCCTTTGTGCTGATGCGGACCTGTACATCGCTGAGCACCTGGGTATGAGAATGTGCTAGGGTGACGAGGGCAACTGAGTGTGAGTCAAGCCATTTAAGACCCAGACAATGAAATGGTCCGTTTCTTACTTTACTTCACAATCACCGCAATTTTGAGCCATATCCAGCTGGCTTGTGCTGACTCAAGAGGCAACAATCTTTGGGCAAGATCTTTTAAAACCTGCTGCACATCCCGCATTGGGCACATAGATGAGCTCTCCGGCTGGTTGACGAGAATTTCACAAGAATTCTGGATTAGATGTTGGTGAATTCATGGTCAATTCCAGGTAAATGATAAACACAAAATCACAAACGCACCCAAAAAAACACATGCCTTCATTTTTCCATATTTTCTGAATTTCTTCCGTACTTTGTTCATATTCTCCAAGTTTTTCCCCCATGTTTTCATAGCCTTGAACCCATCATCCCTGGGGACCCAGGATCGGTGAGCCAGCGGCGTTGCGGGTGGCCCTGGGCCCGCGGTCTAGCGACGCGGATGGCGCTTGGCAGATGGGCGCCAATGGCAACGACTACAAGGTCTGGATCAGTCCCTTGGCTTCAAAAAATGCCAATTTTGACCATGGAAATCCATGGACAGGTGAAAAAAAATGCTCATTTTACCCATGGAAACATGGGATGAACATGGGGATGCCTGGTTTTTCATGACATTTTCGATGAGATATGGGATTAGCTGATATAACTATATCATGGCGGGTTAGCTGGCTCTGGAGGTGAAGAAAATGTTAGCAGGTATGGGGATATGATATAGTTAGCCTGTTGCTCCCCCGTCTTTCTCATCTACCCACCCAGATTATGATACAACCAAATTCTATGGGGTAAATACTAAAGACAGGGGAGCAACAGCTTATAGATAATAATAAAACCAATAATATAAACCATAACAAACAAATAAAACAAAAAAACAAAACAACCTAAACGATACAATAGACCATAAAACAAACCTTACCATAAACCATAACAACAAACCATACACTTAACCTCATTCAAAAGCCTATTGTAAAGCCTATACCTATGAATGGACTTTAAGATAAATTATGAAATAATTTATCTATAAAGCCACATCCCAGCAATGGTAAAGCCAATACATAAAAATGAATGAGAAGAAGAAACCATCTAAAAACAATTCATTTGTTAAATACCCCGTATTCAGTATCCGAATACACCCGTATTCAGTATCCGAATACACCCGTATTCTGTATTCAGTATCCGAATACGCCATTATTCTGTATTCAAATGCTGAATACCCCGTATTCAGTATCTGAATACGCCCTTATTCTGTATTCAAATGCTGAATACGTCCATAGGCTCAATACCCAATGTCCAGCCCTTAGACATCCCAATGTCCAGCCCTTAGACATCCCAATGTCCAGCCCTTAGACATCCCAATGTCCAGCCCCCATACCTTATGAGCCCAAGTAAGACCCCCCTATCCTACCTTATGAGCCCTTTTTCCAAGTAGAAAATGAACATCCTACCAAGTAGGAAATCAAAATCCTACTTCACAAAGAAAAGTAGGAAATCAAAAATCCTACCCAGTAGGAAATCAAAATCCTACTTCAAGACCACCCTTTTTCAAGTAGGAAATCAAAATCCTACCCAGTAGGAAATCAAAATCCTACTTCAAGGCGCAGTATTTCAGTGGCAAGGCGCAACTATCTGAAACATACAACATTTACAGCATTCAGTATTTCTTCTACCAGTTCTTGAGGGATTTTATACAAATCAGTCTGTGAATGAAAAACAGGATTATCCCCCCAGTCGGCTTTGGTTTTTGAGGGTAAGCGTTGTGCTGTTTCTTTATGCCTGTTCCCATCCATACTATCACAATCCTTTTTACAAAGAGGTCTGGGTGTCCAAGTGTCCAAGTTAGTCCAGAGCCTCGTTCTTTTCCTGTAATTAAAGCCATACTTATTTATGAGGCTTACGCCTGACAGCCGGGCGCCGGCCAAAGCAGACCCATGCGTCGGGTGTAATCCATGTCCATGTTCCGGTGTTGTTGTTGTTGTTGTCGTTGTCGTTGTCGTTGTCGTTGTTGTTGTTGTTGTTGTTGTTGTTGTGGTTGTCGTTGTTGTTGTGGTTGTTGTTGTGGTTGTTGTTGTTGTTGTTGTTGTGGTTGTGGTTGTTGTTGTTGTTGTTGTTGTTGTTGTCGTCGTCGATGATGATGTTGTTGGTGATGTTGTTGTTGATGTTGTTGTTGATGTTGTTGACGTCGTGGTCGTCGTCGTCGGCGTCCTCGGCGTCGTCGTCGTCGTCGTCGTCGTCGTTGTTGTTCTGGTTGTTGTCGTCGTCGTCGTTCTGGTTGTTGTCGTTGTTCTTGTTGTTGTTGTTGTTGTGGTTGTGGTTGTTGTTGTTGTTGTGCTTGTTGTTGTTATTCTTGTTCTTGTTGTTGTTGTTGTTCTTGTTGTCGTTGTTCTTGTTGTTCTTGTTCTTGTTCTTGTTCTTGTTCTTGTTCTTCTTGTTGTTGTTGTTGTGGTTGTTGTTGTTGTTGTCGTCGTCGCCGTTGTTTTTTCTTATTGTTGTTGTTGTTGTTGTTGGTGGTGTTGTTGTTGTTGTTGTGGTTGTTGTTGTTCTTGTTGGTGTGCTTGTTGTTCTTGTTGTTGTTGTTGTTGTTGTTGTTGTTGTTGTTGTTGTTGGTGTTGTTGTTGTTATTGTTGTTGTTGTTGTTGACCGATGTTGGCCCTATTTGGGCGCAGGTTTACCCCTGTCTTGGCCCGAAGTTGTTGTTGTTGTTGCTGTTGTTGTGGTTGTTGTTGTGGTTGTGGTTGTTGTTGTTGTTGTTCTGGTTGTTGTTGTTATTGTCGTTGCCGCCCTGGTTGGTTGTGTTGTTGTTGTTGTTGTTGTGGTTGTCGTTGTCATCCTTGTTTGTTGTTGTTGTCGTTGTTGTTGTTGTTGTTGTTGTTGCTGTTCTTGTTGATGTTGGTGTTGATGTTGGTGTTGTTGTTGTTGTTCTTGTAGTAGTTGTAGTTGTAGTTGTAGTTGTAGTTGTAGTAGTAGTAGTAGTAGTAGTAGTAGTTGTTGTTGTTGTGGTTGTCGTTGTCGGCCGTGTTTTCTTTTCTTTTTTCTTTTTTTTGTTGTTGTTGTTGTTGTTGGCCGATGTTGGCCCTATTTGAGCGCAGTTTTGCCCCTGTCTTGGCCCTAGGTTGGCCCATGTAGCCCACATCTTGGCGTAATGTCGACCCAGGTAGCCCACATCTTGGCCGAGGTTGGCCCTATCGTGGCCTATGTAGTCCCTATCTTGGCCTTATGTCGGCCCGTGTAGCCCACATCTTGGCCGATGTTGGCCCTATGTTGGCGCAGGCTTGCCCCTATCTTAGCCGTATGTTGACCCATCTAGCCCTTATGTCGGCCCATGTAGCCCACTTCTTGGCCGATGTTGGCCCTATGTTGGCACCAAGGCCGTCAAGACGGCCAGTTGTCCGTTCCGGACCCCTGCCGCAGACCCAAAACCATGAAAAACCCATGGTTTTTTAACGTCGCCAAGATGAAACCTGGAGACGGCGAAGGCCACAAAACCCTGTAAAAAACGATGTTTTTTGAACACCACACGCAGAATACACTGTAAATTACAGGTATAATCGTGGACCGGGGGTGAACCGGAATCGACACGAGGTCGACACGAGGTGGGTCGGCGGCAGGGGGGCAGCCGTATATAACCTTCGGTTACCACCGAAGGCCTCCGGCAATGCCACGGACTGCGGCCCCGGGGCCATGTAGGTAACCGTTGTTTCTTGTGTCTAAACGTGATGGTTGCATGGCGCCTTCTAACTGATGCAGTTTTCATGGAGGTTCCATGCAGGTTCCATGGAGAATTGATGTAGAATTTCATGCAGTTTCCATGTGCGTTATGGAGGTGGTGCCTCTATCTACACTTGTTGGTTTTATCAAAAACTCTGACTGATGCAGGTTCCATGGAGGTTCCATGCAGATTCCATGCAGGTTCCAGGGAGTTGTCATGGAGGTTACCCACCAGTAAGCTAAATTTGCAAACCCAGCATGTAACCAACATGAAACCTGCATGGAAGCTCCATGGAAACTCCATGAAACCTGAGTACAGGATAGGACCACACGGTTTCAAGAAACTGTCTTTCCCCCATTTCAAAAATAAATAGACAAGTACAGAAAAATGCACTAGAATTCAATAATCAATTAAACAATCACGTGAAATTATTGGTGTACATTTTCCGAGATACAAGATGAATATCAATTCAAAAACAAACCTAATCTGGTAGCAATCATTGTTGTTTTAATTTTTTTCTTTATTTTCAACGATTTCATTGTTTGCAGGGTTTGATATTTTTTGTTTTTTCTAAGTTTACAAAACCATCAATTCCCAGACTTCCAAACCACCAACCCAAACCACCACGTAAGCACAAGTTGATTATGGTTTATATTATTTGTTTTATTATTATCTATAAGCTGTTGCTCCCCTGTCTTTAGTATTTACCCCATAGAATTTGGTTGTATCATAATCTGGGTGGGTAGATGAGAAAGACGGGGGAGCAACAGGCTAACTGATATTATATAGTGGACATGGTATTAGCTGGTACCATAGCGATAGGTTGAATTAGCCGAGTTTAGGATAGTTGGGGCAAATGGGGTTCTGAACGAGTAAAATCTCAGCCAGATAAGGGAAATAGGGAACTACTAGCTGATGGGTTGGCTAGTACAAGTGGTTGAATCTGCCACAACCCACAACTTGGGGGTTTTGACGGTAAAACGGATATGGAGGAAACAACTGTTTTGTTGAACCAGGCCAACAAAAAATGGACGGGGGTGCAAACGTGGTTTCGACAGCGGGAATGTCTTGGCAGGCTGGCAGTGTCCAAAACCAGGACATTTCTATGGGATGATAAAGGGGAATCCCATGCGTTTCGTTCTGAGGTAAGAGCAAGACTTCCTGAGTGGTTTTCAATGTAGCTGTGGTGCTTCCCCGGGACCGCTTGAACTTTAGGATACCAATGAGGAACTTGGGTTGCAACAAAGTCAGACCTTTGTCCGCAGAAATGAACGGCAGTTTCAAAGTGGTCTACTCAGTCCTTGGGGCCAACGCATTGATCTGATGTATGACAGCAGGGCGAATGGGCTAAAGTGCTTGCTGGGGTTTGCTGCAGTCAGAAGCTGTAGCGAAATCCACACTCAACTTGGAGTGCCCGTGATAGTTGTATTTTTTCTTAATTTGAGAGGGGCTTCAAGAAGACGTTACTTTTTTCCCAGTAACAATGAAATGGAATATCGCGAATGTCAATTGATTCGTCAAGCAACTACCATCAGCAGTGTGTTGTGTTGATACTTTCGTTTGCGTGGCACTGTGTAGAGATTCTGAGCTGCCGAGCTCACGTGAGCTATTCTTCCAACCGCTCATGTGGGCCTTGTGCCCAGGGGCCATGGCGGCCATGGTTCAAATTGGGTGATCCGATGGCAGGATCGTCTTCCATCGATCTGGGGATTTCACCGGGGGAGATCAGCTGGTCATATAGTTGGGAGCCTGCAGAGTCAGCTGTGTATTCGAGTTTTACTTTAAAGATCTTTTCAGCAGGAGTAATGTGGTAAACCGGTAAACCCAATAATAAACCATAATAAACCCATCTGGGAATGGTTTATACCAACTATTTTATGGTCACTTTGGGGATGCTTTATAGTCGTCAAAAAAAGACATTGAGTCTTTTGATTTTGAGCCATCCGGGATCCCGACAGCTCCTTACAGAATACATCTTATTTAACAGACTAGTTTTGAACTTTAAGCTTCGACCCTAGGGTCGAAGTTGCCGGCTGCGAATCTGGCTGTGCCAGGGACAGGCTCAGACGGCAATTGCTTTGAGAGGCATCAGCACTGCTTGCGCAGCGCAAAATCCTGCCCTTTTTTGGCTGCGGGAAATCAGCTGCATTGATGTTGGATCACTTACACCACTTCGATGGAGGTGGAAGCCTTGAGCTTGGAAGACTGTACCGACTTCGTCCGGGCGTCCAATGGGATGGGTCAAGAGTGAGCCCTGAAAAGCCGAGTTTTGGCACTAGACTCACTAGACCCTCTGGTAGAGAAACCTTATCATGGGAAAAAAAGTATTCCATAATTCCATATTGATATTATAGATTGATCATCTATGAATGGGGTTTTTATGGTTCGTTGCAAGATTGGATTGTCAGATGATAGCCCCACTTGGTGATGACCCAGATTGAAGTGCTGGACCTTGTGGAGAATCCATGGCCTGAATTTTTGGATTTTTGGCAGCAGATGTTCCCCTCTTGACAACTGATCATGCAAGAAATGTGGCAAACCCCATCCAATATTTACCATACTCATAATTCAGCATGTGGGGGCACGGGCGGGAGAAAATACACCCAATAATCTTGGTGCTTATCAATCATATAGCGTTTACATGCATTTACAACAACCCCAGAAAGATAGACGCGATCATAGTGGTAATTGGCCTTTCCATCTTTTGGAAATTACTATAAAACCAATTCGATACCTCAACTTGTTTCAACTTGGATGTGCATCCCAGATAGGATCTGTGGTTTCGTAACCTGTATATACGTATATATATAATATACATACGCGCATATATACACACACCATATGTAAACTAGATATACATATCCGATATAGTACTGTAACTGGTTTATTCAACTATATCTATATATATATATATCTATATAATATCCCATATACAACCCACAAATATCCCACATATAGCCCACATGCAACCCACATCCCGGCTTCAGGTGGTCCATTTGGGCCTTCCGGCCGACCTGGCTCCGCAGCTCTTCGCAGAGTCCGGAGACTCAACGAGTCAAAGCTGGGTCCGAGAGTCCGTGTCTGAACTGGTTGGTTAATAGTGGGATAATCTATATTAATAGTGGTTAATAGTGGTTAATCATGATAATCAATAATGAACTGGCTATGGGTCAATACCGATAGATACATGACTTTAGTGGGATGAACATCCATTTTAACCCAGCTATGACTTGAGGTGAACAAAAGGTACCAGGGTTTTGACCCATCCCCATATTATAATCATCTTAATCATCTTAATCCATTATAATGATTATAATGTATATAGAAAATCCGATACCATGATGGAATTTACTAATATGGGGTTCCCTTTTTGGTATACCATGATATATCCGATATACCCAAACTTGGGACCGTCAATCCACAGGATTTTGTTCTCGTGATTCTGAGGATTTCCATCGTGGGATACTGTGGATGGTTGCGAAATCCGATAAACCACCGAAAGGATGTTTGAGACCCTATAAATAATGGCATAAACCATCTATCAACTGGTGCAGGATTTCGCCACCATCCACAGTATATAGGATGTCCTCCAAATGGCCATTTGAATGGGCAAAGTTGCGATCAACCAAAGCCATCCCAGGGTTTGAAGCAGCCGAAATCAGCCTTTTTCGCCCAGGTTGGAAGCAGAGAACAGCCTGTTGGCTACTGAGGTGCCGTTTGGAGATGGCTTTGTCTCGAAAAACATCTGATGTGCGCACCCCCAATTTATGGCAATTTTACGTTGATGAACAGACTGGATGGGGGGAAAACCGTGTTTAAATGAAACCTCTTTAAAAGCCCTTGCGCTTTTTCCATCGACCTCCGGTTCTTTTGGGCGTCGCGTGACTCCATCATTGCTGCCAGAGCGAAGCCAATACGTCCCAAGACATGGAGTGGCTGGCCCGCGTGCCCAGTGACATTTGAGCTGCCAACATGGGCAGCACTTCACCATTTTCAAGACCTTCGATCGAATGGGTGAATTCTACCAACTCCCCCGAAAATCATTGGGGTCGGTCAGTTCTGGTAGCAGTTCCCCGAGCGTTTCAGTTGGTCAAACTACGCCTGCTCAGCCGCTCTCCAAGGTGAGTCATTTTGGTCCCAAGATCGAGACGCGGTTCTTGCTCTTCTGGCCACAGATGGTTCCAGCGCTCAGGTTCGGCTGCTGTGCCCTGTGGGTCCTAGGTCCTAGGGATGATCTGAGGTCAGGCAAACAATCTGGGTTGGTGGCTTGAAATGGTCGATTTCTCTCACTTGTTCTTTGAGAAGTTGGAACCACTTACAAAGCAGTCAACCTTTGGGATCCACTCAGCTGGTGGCTCAAATTTCGCCCCGCAGCCGCAGCCAATTTCTCTCAGGGCCTGTTTAGCACAGGAGGATGGAGCCTGGTCGCTGTGTCCATGTGGTCCCACATCGGCTGGACGGGCCATCGCCCCCAGAAACGTTGTATGCCCTGGGTGCACGAACGCTGGCAAGGATGAAGGGAAAGGACTATGGCCTGCTAGTCAAAAGTGGGACCCAAAGAAATACACAAAATTGGTTGTTTAGTCTTCAACCATCCAAAATAGGGATCGATACTTTGTGTGACACCAAGTTCGAGACGGTTTGAGTGGACACTTTTTTGGCCGAAGTGAACACAAATGGCAACGTGCGAAGGTTTCCCACCCCTAGAAATCGCTGGGTTAAGCCATCCCTACGTAACTGGTGGTTCGAAAAACAGATCCGTACCACCTCAGGATAGTAAGAATAACCGGTAATCTAAATTGACCCCATTTATAGATGGTTTACCTGGGTTTATCTCCTAAAAATGGTGATTTTCCATGGCTATGTCCAATAATCAGATGGAAACTGTTTCAGAAAGGTGGCCCAACCCCCAAGTCAATCTGCTTCTTGTGGGCAGGATCTTGCGGAGTCCTGGTCCCTATTTGCGAACATGCCTGTGGTGGACCCAAAGCAGTCTCCAGTGTTGTGCCGCACCGGGACCGCAAGAGGGAATGACACGTGCATACTGAAAGTATCACTCGGGTTCCAAAAGACTTCTTCTATCATTTTGCCCAGGATTCTGTTTTGCATGTATCATTATATCATTTTGTGTTCCTTTCTTTTTCGCGGCTCTGCAAACGCTTTTGTTGTGTTCGATGTTTCGATTTAGGTGTCCCAAACCATTCAACTCAAAGTTCCCTTTGGAATTAGGGACCCAAGTGTTTGTCGATCTCAACAAGTTTGGGACACACCTTTTGGGGAGGTAATAAGTTGGTGTTGGCTATCCTCATAGACCAAGTGATTTCTTTGACATGGGAACGAAGGCAACTCCTCAAATGAAAAGTTCCCAAGTTGAACATTGGTCCGTTCAAACCACGGAAAACAGCAAAAAAACTCTCAGCTTTGCCTGTCAGTTCTAAGGCTGGGTGCCTTACCATCTCATGATTATCCTCCAATGGCTGCTGCATGCCGTGCCCGTGGACGACCTCAATGGCCGAGTCCTCCATACCTATGGCAAGCACCAGGGCCCCATCAAGCGCGCTCTGGCGGAGGCCTTCGGCTTCACAGAAAGAGCGCAGCGCGTGATGCGCTTCGGAGAGCTGGAGGAGATTTTCCACGCGGTGGAGAGGATGGAGGAGAGTTCCAAGTATTTCCAAGTTTCATTTGATTGTTGGTTATTCATGGTCATTCAGATTTTTGCAATCAATTAGTGTAAACTACATGAATTCCGCAAGTTTTCTTGGTCAACATGTCAGCGTCCTGATTTTGATGGGGTGTGTAGTGTAGATCTTGAATGAGTTTGCGATGTTCGGAGGAATTTTGATGGGGTATGTTTGAAGCTTGCCACCAATGTTTTGGGATAACATCATGACATATTGTAGGACTCAATCCTCGGCAAGAACTCATGTGAGTTGGATTTTCATGTCAAGGATTTCCACGCTTTTCGTGGGAGTGCTGAGCCTTGGGCAGTGGTGGGGATGCGCAATTATGTAACTTCAGTTTGGAGGGTTCAGTAGTGGTTGACGGAACCAAAAGGATGTTTTAAGGATTTGGTTTCTATTTTAGTATGAGGGAATACCAGAAACCCTATTGTCAGCCAGGCAGATCTGTTTCCTTGAGCGTATCCAAAATGTTTGGAGGAGGAAGAAATCAGCACACGACTGCGCAGACGCCTTGAGTGACTTGCTTGAGTTCTTACACCGCGGCAGGGCTAGAACTACCAACACGGGGCGTTAACCGGGGTCTACCACTGAAGGGCCACGAGGCGCAGATTTTGTTTATTTACATGCTGAGGTGAAGCAAAAGAGTTTGCTTCAAACCTCTTTTTGGTTTGAACAGTTTCATAGTTCTTTCCATAAGGTTACTGTACTTTTCGTGCTTGGAGGAAACGGCGTTCTTGTATTTGGGCAAGGTTTTTTTCCGCCCGTCCTCGGATGTTTCAAAATTCAAACTTCAAGGAAAGTCACAGACCTGCTGACAGAGTTCGGCGAGGAGTATGGCTCTGTATGGTTTGAAGGCCAGAGATGGGGGATCCTTTGGTGCAGCCAATCCACAGACACCTTTTCTGGTTAGCCAAATTCATTTTTGGGCTAAGGGGTCGGCCGTAGGGTGTCCCACGGTGACCTATAAGTTCTTGATGATTTTCGATTGAACCATTTGAAGATCTTTTGGTATGTCCTGCTGTGCTTTGGCTGATGGTCCGAAGAAAAATCACCATTTCTGGGAACAAAGTCTATTTCTAAAAAACATCCGGTTTGGAAACGCGCGGTTCTCTTTATATTCTTTATTACAATTCCCCATCTTGTGGAATTCCCCAACCTCTGGAGAATTAAAGGGGTTAGCCTGTATTTGGAGGCAAAACACTAGAAACTTAAAACATCTTAAACCAATCCTTTACTTCCCCGTACATTCTTGAAACCAATCCACAACTTCCCTGCGGGGCAGGCGCAATCAGCGCTCCTACCTTGTACTTTGCCAGCAGCTGGGCTTGCACAAAAGGGGACTGGCTTTGCGTGAATACATCTTCGAACAAGGGCAAGTTCAAACTGAACAATTGTGGATTTGGATTCACTATGATCATGAAAGGCAGGCGATTATACGTACAATTAGCAGGCAGAGGAACTTTACTTGCGAACATGGGGAAGCAATCCAAAAATGCTGGCCTTTGATAGGTGATTAAAGCCGTGTATTTATTTTTTCGGATTTGTCAGGAGGTGATACATAGATTCCTGCGGCCTGTTGGCAATGGAGATCCTACATTTGAAGCGACATTGGAACCGAGGAAATCGTGCTGGGCACATCCTGGCTATCCTTGGGACGAAAGTGTCGCGACAATCTGATGGAACAAATCGCCCTGGAGAATGGTCCAAGTGGCGCTGAGGAGCTCACCTCCGGTGATCCTTTGACCGAGCTTCGGTCACAGAACTCGAGTAGTTTTCCTTCTTCGCCCGTTTTCAACGAGCCCTGGCGGGGTTCAATTCGAAAGTGTGGTGATTGGAAACGCTTGAAGCCCATTGCACCAAGTGCCCTGGGATTTTGCACGCTGGAAGGTATTGATTGGATCACTGCCAACAGGGTAGTATTTTCGACTAACAGGTAGAAATTTGAATCGTTGTTTTATTGCTTCCCATTTGACAGCCGTGGTGTAGCGACGTTGCCGCCACTGTTTATATGTTCCGCTGACAGAGATGTATGATGGCCATGAGCTCCCTGTGGGGATTTGTACTTCCGGTAGCAACATAAATATGAACACCCAAGCTGTTGCTGGCGGCTATTTGTCACGGGATATGGCCTGATTCTCTGGTGGCCTGTGGCCTGATTCTCGTGTAGCACACCTCATAAGCGGAAAAGGCTTGTCAATGCTTGAGATGGCCCACTCACTTGTTCTTTGGGAAGTCGGAACCACTTACCTAGCAAAGTCAACCTTTGGGATCCATTTTGGCTTCCCCAGCTGCTGGCTCAAATTTTGCCCCGCAGCGCATTTCTCTCAGGGCTTGTTTGGAGGATGTTGCCCAGGCGCAAAATCTATTTGGCCCGTCATCCGCAGGACGAACGACCTCTGCCACGGACGCTGCATGCATTGGGCGTGCAAATGGTGGGAGAAGTGTGGGGACAGGACCATGGTCTGCTTTAGCTTTGGCTATGGCTGGCTATGGCTCAAACTTATTCCAAATTGGGATGCCATGAAACCCAAAAAGTTGGTTATGTTTAGTCTTCAACCATCCAACTTGTTGGGGACGCGGGTTTGGATGGACACTTTTTTGGACAAAGGAAAGACAAATGGCAAGGGGCGAACATTTTCCACATGTTTGAATGCAGTAGATGTGTTGCGTTTCAATTTCAAACGCATCAGCCGTTACAAGTCACCGGGTTAAGCCATCCCTTGCTGGTGGTTCCAGAAAAAGTTTCATCCCACCTCAGCATCGACACATGGCCCACAGAACATTATTTTCGCATCCGACCTCAGGATAATAATCTCAATTGGCAAATACAACATGTTTCAGGAAGGCGACCCAACCACCAAGTGGATCCCCTTGGGGCAGGATGTTGGAGACTCCTGGTCCCTGAGTGCGAACGTGCCTGTGGTGAACCCAAACCGATCTCCAGTATTGTGGAGCGCCGCGACACGCAAGTGGGAATGAAATATGCATACTGAACGTATCACTTGGTTTCTATCAAATGTTTTTTTTAAAAGCATTTTTGGGCAGGATTCAGTTCTGCATTTCGTATTTCTTTTTTTCATGGCTATACAGACGTTTTTGTCGTGTTCGATCTTTCGAGCCGTCCCAAACCGTTTAACCCCAAAGTTCCCTTTGGAATTGGGGACCCGAGTGTCGAACCCGCAATTCCCAGCTTTGCCTTAAAAGTCCCTCAGGCGGCTTGCTGCCCTTTGGTGACATGGAGAACCTTCAAGAGCTGCTACGTGCCGTGCCCGTGAACGACCTCAATGGCCGAGTCCTTCATATCTATGGCAAGCACCAGGGCCCCATCGAGGGCGCTCTGGCGGAGGCCTTCGGCTTCACAGAAGAAGCGCGGCGCGCGATGCGCATCGGAGAGCTGGAGGAGATTTTCCACGCCGTGGAGAGGATGGAGGAGAGTTCCAAGTATTTCCAAGTTTCATTTGATTGTTGGTTATTCATGGTCATTCAGATTTATGCAATCAATTAGTGCAAACTGTGTAAACTACATGATTTCCGCAAGTTTTCTTGGTCAACATGTCAGCGTCCTGATTTTGATGGGGTGTGTAGTGTAGATCTTGAATGAGTTTGCGATGTTCGGAGGAATTTTGATGGGGTATGTTTGAAGCTTGCCACCAATGTTTTGGGATAACATCACGACATATTGTAGGACTCAATCCTCGGCAAGAACTCATGTGAGTTGGATATCTTGTAAGACCCGGCAAGGACTCGCGTGCCTTCAGTGACCTTCAGTGACTTGGAGTTCGGCACTGCAGGGTTAGACCAACAAGGGGCGTCAACGCTGAAGGGCCCACCAGGCCATTTTTTTTTCCACTACAGCTACTGATAGCTGCTGTATTTTTCATGGAGGACATCGATTTCTTGTATTTGGGCAAGCATTTTTTCACCTCCTATATTTCAAAGTTCAAAATTCAAGGACAGCCGTGAAGCTGCTGAAGAAGTTCGGCGGCACAGAGTATGGATGCGCGTGGTTTGAAGGCCCGAAGATAGGAGATTCTTTGGTGCAGCCCGCCAACAGACGCTAGATGGATAGCCAAATTCATGAGGGCAACACACACACACATACACGCACACACACACACACGCACACACATAATTATGTATATATATATATTATATATATATATAGATTATATAGATAAGTAAGAAAGAAAGGAAGAAAGAAAGAAAGAAAGAAAGAAATAAAGAAAGAAAAAAAGAAAGAAAGAAAGAAAGAAAGAAAGAAAAGAAAGAAAGAAAGAAAGAAAGAAAGAAAGAAAGAAAGAAACAAGAAAGAAATAAAGAAAGAAAGAAAGAAAGAAAGAAACAAGAAAGAAAGAAAGAAAGAAAGAAAGAAAAGAAAGAAAGAAAGAAAGAAAGAACGAAAGAACGAAAGAAAGAAAGAAAGAAAGATAGATAGATGGGTAGGTAGGTAGATAGATAGACAGATAGACAGACAGATAGGTAGATAGATAGGTAGGTAGATAGATAGATCGATAGAGAGGGTCCCCCACGTTGCCGAAGTTTTTGATGATTTTCGTGAGAACAGATGGTTTGAAAGTCCTTTCTTTTTAACATATCCTGATGTGCTTGGGCTGTAGATGCTCCGAAAAATCCACCATAGTTCAATTTGGAAGTAATATCCAGATGGTTTGGAAATACACCGTTCTCTATATTACTATCCCCCATCTGGTGGAGCCGTTCAAAAACATCCCCGAAATGGATTGAGGGGAACCAGGGGTTAGCAATATATTTGCAGGCTAAACGCTGCAAACCGTGCTTTCCCGTAGCTTTTCCCTGAAGCCAGTGGCAGGCGCTAACGTCGCTCCGACGTTGTATTATGCCAGCAGCCGGGCTTGAACAAAAGGGGACTGGCTTAGCTTGAATCCATCTTTGAACCACGGCCAACTCAACCTGAACAATTATGGATTTTGATTCATCATTATCATGATGGGAGACTATACAATTAGCCGGCAGAGGAACTTTACATGCGAACATGGGGAAACAATTCAAAAATGAAGGTCTTAAATTGGTGATGAAAGTCGTGCTATTTTTTTTCCGGATTTGCCAGGAGGTGATAAGGTTCTTGCAGCCTGTTGGCAACGTACGATGTATTCCTTCTAGACCATCTGATATAGGAGATCCTACATTTGGATACATTTGGAGCGACATTGGAACCGAGGAAATCATGCTGGGTACATCCTGGCTATCCTTGGGACGGAAGTGCAAAGGAGTGCTCTGCAGCTAGCTGCGGCTGGCCAGAGAATCGGAACAAAAAATCGTCCTTTTGGATGAGAATGGTCCAACTGGCACGGTGTTTATGTATATACTGTAATTTGCGGTCAAGTCGAGTAGTTTCCATCAGCTCTTGTCAACGAGCCCTGTCTCTGGGTTCTCAAGGGTGGTGATCGGAAACGCTTGGACCGCCCACCCTCCGCACCAAGTGCCCTGGGATTTGCACACCGGAAGGTATTGATTGGATCACTGTCGACAGGACAGGGTAGTATTTTCGACTAACAGGTAGACTTGTTTTACACAGATTGATGATGGCCTTGCGGACAGCTGCTCCCTGTGGGTAATTTGTAGCAACATCATGTGAACGTCCAAGCTATTGCCAGTGGCTAGCTGTCAGGGGATATGGTGCTAGCGGTTCCTGTATCGTAACCGGAATGTGTTGGTGGCAGTTTAAAAAGGAGCAGCCGGTGGCCTGATTCTCTGGTGGCCTGTGGCCTGAGTGGCGTGTCACGCGTAGCACACCTCGCAGCCGAGAAATCAATGGCCTCTGGGAACAGTGCAGATTCGAACATCAGCGAGTAGAAGTGGTTCCAGAAACATGATGCCAGCATTCTCCCCTCTGATAATTGAACAGAAATCAGCCATTTTTCCATAGCTATGTTAAATTGTCCATAGCTGGCGATGCTTCCAGCTCTCAGGCTTGGAGACCTGTGATGTAGTCCAGTGGTTCTTGGAGAAGTTGGAGCCACATATCATGGAACCACATGCCACATACATCCGCATGCCACATAGGGGAGAAGTCAGCATAGTGAACCGGATCCATTTTCGATTCCTCAGCTGATGCCTCAAATTTCGCGCCGCCCATTTCTCTCAGGGCTTGCTTTATGGATGGAGCCGGATCGCTGGATCTGTGTGGTTCCGGACGAAGGTCCTCTCCCAGCGACGCTGCATGCATTGGGCGTGCGAATGGTGGGAGAAGTGCGGGGACAGGACCATCGGACCATGGTTTGCCAGTGCCAAAACTGGGATACCAAGGGATCCAACCCATAAACTGCTCGATTTTGTTGGAGGCGGAGCAAGCAAATGGCAACACAGAAATGATCCCCACATGTTTTAATACAGTAGATGGAGTTGTGGTTTCAATTGCTGATGCAACAGCACTTACAAGTCCCCAGACTAAGCCATCCCTGTGGTTCCAAATCTGTTTATATTCCATCGCACTCTGAGGAGAGTAAACCTAGTAATCCTAAACACACGTGTTTGGGAAAGTTGGCTAAACCACCAAGTGGATCCCCTTGATTTTCGTATCCTCATCCATTCTGCAGGAATTGGACTCCTGGACACTGCGGGCAAACGTACCTGTGGTGAACTCGAAGTCTCCAGAGTTGTGGGGTGTCCTGGCGAGTATCACTTGGTTTCCATATGTGATTCTATCATTTTGCACAGGGCTTAATTTGGTACAGTATATTCAGTAATTATATACAGTATATACAGTATATATAATAGAATATTATATTCATAATATAGTATAATATAATATATAATATAATATAATATTATACTATATTTATATAATATATTATATAACAACAGAATATATTATATAATATAACAGTATATGATTGTCGATCTAAAGGTCCATGTAGAGATTGTCCAGTACAAAGGCTGCCAGGGTTCCAACATGAGACCCCCGCAAAAGATAAACGTGGGGTTCGCGAAAGATTCGCGAAATTAACTTTTTTATTCGCGAAGAATGGCCGTTTGCAGATAAAGGAATCTGGATTAATCACCATACACGTATATATATATATATACAATATATATATATATGTATAATATTTATATTCTATCATATATTATATTTATAAATAAATAATTATTATATATATATATGTAATATACATACATCATATCTAGTAGTTTCTTTACAGATGTTTTTGTGGTGTTCGGGTCCCCAAACTGTTGGACCCTTCACAGACCAAGGGTGGATGCCTTTTCCCAAAATGATGGATCTTCAAAAGCTGCTACATGCTGTGCCCGTGGATAGCCTCACCGGCCGAGTCGTCCATTCCTATGGCAAGCACCAGGGCCCCATCGAGGGCGCTCTGGCGGAGGCCTTCGGCTTCACGGAAGAAGCGCGGCGCGTGATGCGCTTCGGAGAGCTGGAGAGGATCTTCAGGGCTGTGGAGATGCAGGAGAGAGAACTTCTTTCTCTTTTTTTTGGAGTTTCTCATTGTTGCTTACGCTCTGGTAATCTAACGTAGCTATGGCATATGTATATATATATATATAGATTTGCCCAGAAGTGTTTTTTCATTGCGAGGTTAGTTTACTGGAGGGTATGATTTAGGCAGTGAATAATGTGAAATCCCCAGTTTTATACGTCAACATCACCGTTTTGATGGGGTGCGTAAGCGTAAGCTTGAATGATTTTGGGATAGGTTTCGGATAGATCGTTCATAGGTTTATAGGGAATGGGCATCCATGCGTAGTGAATACCAAGGCACCATGTGATTTGACCCATATATATAAATGGAGGAGTGGATGACTGACGTTTGGGAGGAACCATTGATGCTTGATAGGAACTTGTGTGCGTGTTGACGCTTGAATCTCAGTTTAATCCTTGTGTCATCCAAGGGGTTACAAAATCTCATGGGACTGTTTCCGCAGTTTCCAGCCAGAACGAAAATGATGCGTAAATGGAACACGTGCTGAACCTTCGGCAGTGGTATCCCTCTGGCAAGTCGAGCTAGCGAGGGTCTTATCACATTGTTGCAAGGTCAATCGTTTTTATTTACAAAATCCGAACAGTGTGTGTACATCACTTTCGTTGACCCGCCAAACAGCTGATGGTTGTAGTATTCATACTAAAGTTCATACAGGGAATATCACGGACCTTGTTGCTAGCTAGCCGGACTAGTTTCATGGAGGGTATCCCAAAATGTTTGGAGGACCAGAACACAGAAGTTCGCCAACGCCTTCAGTGACTTCGGATTTGCTAACCACGGGATCCAACACCTTCAGTGGGGCGATGTTAACCAGCACAGAGTCGGAACATGTCGGAACCAACAAGGGTGATTATTCAACCAGGATAGAGGAGCACCGTGAAAGGTCACAAAATGAGGGTACGATGGCTTTTTTTGTTTGCATACCGTCCTGAAACCTTCAAGAATTACCTTTTGTGGATTGGACAGTTTTCGAGTTTTTCCACTTTTTCTTTTGGTTTCCCTCCTTGGATGTTTCACAATTCAACCTTCAAGGGAAGCCACAAGCCTTCTGAAATGCTTCGGCAAAGAGAGTCATGGCTCTGTGTGGTTTGAAGGCCGGCAGCCGAAGCTGGACGGGCTGTCTGTTGATCTTAGATGGAAAAATATGTAGCTGTGTTTATGGTATTTCCATGCTTCTGCCCATGTGAGGAGCCTGCAACCATAATCCGGATACTTTGGCGCACCCTGCCCAAGGACGGAATCTAAACTGTAGAGAAAACATCTACCCAGCATGGCAAGATGAAACGATCCACAGACCCCAAACGGATAGCCAAATTCATGAGGAGAGGGTTTCCTCTTTGACCCAAGTTCTTGATGGTTTTTGCGGCGGTGTAAACCAATGTTTTTGGAAATCCCCACATTTTATGCCCGCATGTTCTTCTTACATGCGACCGGGGTGACCGTGGTCCAAAAAGAAACACCTTGCAATCGGGGAACTATATACAGTAAGTCTTGATCTGAAATACTTCCAGATGGTTTGGAATCCATTTTATAATCTGCCATCTTGTGAAGCAAATCTACAACATCCCGGAATGACAGGGGTTGGCCCTATATTGGAAGGGCAACAACTAAAACAACATGCTTTCCCGAGATTTTTCCATGACAGGGGCAATCAGCGCTCCGACCCTCTATTTTGCCAGCAGCTAGGCTTGGAAGGTCCGGATGAGCTGTGGGTTTTATCTTTGAACTGAGGCCAATTCAAGCAGAAAATCCCTGGATAACCATGAAAGATGGGAGATGAATCAGTAGGGGATCTTGCAAACAGACATGCTGGTCTTAGGGTTGGTGATTCAAGTCCCATTTTTTCGTGGAGTTGTCAGAAGGAAATAGATTGGATGGTATGTCTTTGGAAAAGTACACAGCAATAAGTCCTGAAGCTTGGTGATCAAGGGACCTACTTCAAATGGGCCTGTCTTTTATAGCTGACAGAGGCGAATTGGGGCCTTTAAAAGCAATGTGAAAGGCCGAAACATCATCAAGCAAAGCGGATTGGCCGATTTTGCTCAAACAAGACCAATTGTTTGCATGCTATCTCAGCCTACAGCCTGGCAACGTACAATGTATCCCTTCTAGACTCTAAGACCATTTGATATAGGAGATCCTACATTTGGAGTGACCCTGGAACCTAGGAAATCGCGCTGGCTACATTCTCGCTATACTTGGGACGGAAGTGTCGCGCTCTACATCAGCAACACGTTGCACTATACTCTGATGGAACTTATTGCCCGGTTGGATGAGAATTGTGGCTGTCGAAACTTCCTCAGGCTGAATTGTTTCACCTTTGCGGTCACAGAACGTAGGTAGCCTTCCCTGTTCACCCGTTTTTACGAGCCCTGGAGGGTTCGAAAGTGTGGTAATCTGGGAGCTGCTTGCACCGCCTTTTAATGAGCCAAGTGCTTTCTCGGAAGCTGCTTGCACTGCCGTTTCACTGAGCCAAGTGCCTAGGATCCACGCCGGAAGGTGCTGATTTGATCACTGCATACAGCTGCTCTGTTTGGAAGAGAATTCGCAATCCCTGGAATGTGTTGGTGACATGCGCAACGTTCAAGGAGCAGCTGAACATAGCTAAAGTATGCCAAGTATGCTAAAGTGCCTTATTTTCTGGTGTGTCAAGCTCAAAAAACGACTCTCTTCTCATCTAGCACACCTCCCAAGCAGAAAAGGCTTGCCAATGTCGAAGCAAAAAATGCGCCGGAGCGGATTTGAACATCCAGCAGGTTTGACATCCAGACCGTCTTTGTTGGGTGCAGGAAAGGGCCCCCTAGAAGTTGGTGAAACATGGTGAAACTATATAATCCGCAACTAAATATAATATATATATAGATATGATATATCATATATATATATATTCATTTATATATCCACCATAAATATCCATAAATCAGTCTTATTATATGGTGCTCATACCCACATTGTTGGTGATGCCCGCTTGGTCTTGTACGCAGGCGTTGCGTGGACTTTGGCTTTGAAGGTGGAGCTGATGATGGTCGCTTGAATCATGAGTACTCCAAAGAAATCCTAGGTCCTAAGATGCCAAAAAAAATGGGAACGTGTTGAACTGTAAATTCCCATCACTTCTGGAGATCTTCCCATGTTTTTCCCATGTTTTTCTCTCAAAATCGACCGCGCCTTAGGAGCTCATGGGATCCGGCAAGGACATGCATCCATCCAGCTGGGGATCCTAGTCATACTAGTTTTTGCGGTAGCCAAGGGAGGCAATGGGATTTTAGCAACAAATATATGGGACAATATATGAAAATCAAGGGCGATATTACCTGGTTTGTTGGGATGGTGTTGTTTTCTGGACATAACATGGGAATATCATGGGATATGTTGGGATATAAGCAACAAAAATAACGATACCATCTGGTTATTTAACGTTGCAAACCATTTTTAAGAGAGGTAAATCATCATTTTTATCATCGGGCTAGCTATGGGCAATTATCCATAGCTATGTTAAATAACCTGAGTATATATATATATATTGTTGATTAAATTATATTGGATATATAAATATATCTGTACGCATACACACACACAATTCCATCATATTTGTCCCATCACATGGATGATATATTATTATTAATATGATTTTAAGGGAATATATTTAGTGTAGAATCATGTTGACTCGTAGCCACTTTTTTGGGGAAATATTCTAGTTTTGCCTTTTTGTTATCTACCCATTTTCCCCCAATGTATCTGGGGTGTGAGGAGCAACCCTGAAAAGGGGGGGTTATATGACCAAGCAACTTCTGAGATTTAATGGTATGTATAACCATGGTAACCATGGGTTTGGCCGACGTTTGGCCATTTTGAGAGGGAAAATGATTCGCCAGCAGATTTACAGTAAGGGCATTTATTTTGGACAAACCCATGTAGAATAAGGATATGATTCATGATGTTGAGCAAACTCATCCTTGGTGCTGGTCTGAAGTGAATGGCATGCTTATGCTTGTAGAAAATAGCAACCAGTTTCATCCCTTTAAGATGTATGTATTCCCATAACATTTGATTGCTTTCAAAGGTCAACTATCCAAAAAAACGTTGCCGTTAGCCAATGGCTCATTTGTGATGCTCCCGCAGTCGCGAGCGTGTGAGTCACCGAAGATGCTGAGATCTTTCTTCAGGAAACAGCAAAATTTGGCCATTGGATCATCAGGAAGCACCGATGCTTTGTTTTTGGCAGAGAATCCTGGCAACTCTTGGCGCTAAGCCAGTTACACTCACCCTGACCCCCCAACCCATCTCCGTCATGGAGCCAACCAGCGGCTGCCATGGCTCATACACATCCACTTCTGGTCTTGGATGTCGGCTCCTTGTTGGCATTTTTGTTGGGTCAGAGCTCTGACCAGCAAATTGGCTGGTCTAAAGTTGGGTCTGAAAGTTCACCAATGTTTCAATTTTTCTTTTTTTTTAACAAAGATGAGAAGAAATTCTTCGTACTTTTTATTTTAAACCCTGATGGTATTTGTCTGGATGCATTTCATCCTTCAAGATAACATGATCAGATAATATTTCGCTGATAAGCTTGTCGTAAATCCGTTTCTGTGGGATATCATCTTTATTCTCTATATATATCTGTATCTCCTCATTCTTGCTGGGGTACGCTGTTACACCCAACATTTTTCAATGTTCAGACGGTCGAACCCAGATTCTGACTGGCTAAAATCTATCATTTTGTTCATTCACCCAATCTTCTCGCCAGTGACCTCCACCTTTTCTTGGCTTAGACCCTACATGTTCATTGCCTATAAAATCCAAATTTTTGTTCTTAAATTCCGATTTTGGATGATTGTTACCCCTAAGCCCAGGTTTCCCCCAGATTTTCCTGGTTCAACCCATGGTAATTCCCTGGGAGTTCATCCCAGGTGGTGGCACGTTACGCCTGGGCTTTGCTGCCGGCGTGCCCTCCTGCGGCCGGCGAAAAGGTGCGGTCCGCGCAGAGCCCAACTGCTGTGGAGAGCCGTGGCCCAAGCGAGGCGAGGTTTGGACCACGAAAAATGGGGAGAATTGGGGGTTTTGGATTTTTTTCTGGATGATTTTTTGGAGAATGAAGCAGTTTTTTTGGGTCTAAGATTGACTAAGAATGGGGTTCATACCATTGTGGGGGGTTGCATATTTGAAGACGAATCCATGTTGGTGTAGGGCTCAGTTGCGGCCCAGCTGCTCCAGACTTGACCATGGAGATGCCCAATTTTTTCTGCAAAGGTGTGGTGTTCTGGGTAATGATCACTAAGATACACAGAGAAGTTTCCAATAACCACGAAGACTTTCGCGATTTTTGGATCTTCCCCACCTTTTTGATCCTGGTTTTGTTCCACTGCCACCAGTGCAGGTGGCGCAAAATCACTGCGACTCTATGGTGAGGAGCTGGCGCAAAAGCTGCCATCGTATCAGCTTCAACGGCCCAGCCGCAGGGGGCTGCTGCTGGATCTGCAGATGCAGAAGAAGATCTGGATGGATGTACTGAGCAGGTTGGACCTGCAGGGAAGAGACTTGCCTTGCAAAACGTGTTTTGATTTGATTGAAAAAAGGATGAAAAAAGGTGGCAGGTGCCACTCTTAGCGGAATTCAGAGAAATTTTGCCGGTCATCTGATAGGTATTTTGAACAGTTGCTCTGTTTGGGAGTATATAGGTAATTTGGAGTTCTCACTTGGCTAAGGAGTGATAATGCCACAACTGGTGAGTGATAAATCGTTGGTGACGTTTGGTAGGGAAGTAGGTGGCCTAGCTGTGAAGAGAAAATAATGAATGTCACAAGTGATGTGGTCTCGAAGGGTGCTGTTAGTTCGAGTAACGCTTTTGGGTATCTCGGATAGTAACTCTTTGGATGATGGTGTAGGGACCCCACATTTGACTGGCAAGCTGGGTGCTGGAATCCTGTAAAGGGTCAAGAATCGTGAAATCCGAAACTGCATGCACTACTAGAAGGATCTGCAAATCTTTGGATTGAAGTGTCTTGAGTGTTGATGCAAAATGGCCTCATAGCTAAAATGGGTCTGTCTAAAAATGGTATACCCCCAAAATGCCAATGTATCCAATGTTAGGGGAAATGGAACGGAAATTATGATTCACTGGATTTTGAGGTAATACCAATGGGAATATCACGATCCTAAAATGGAGGTACGTTAGTACCATATTTTTGGCAATATCTTGTGGGGATATTCCCACAAACATAGCCCTGAAAAATAGGCCTGTTGTTATAGCGAAACTGGGCGGTGCGTAGGAAAACTCTCCGACTTGGCCGTGCTGGCCGTATTGGCACCTTTGACGCCCGACGCCTGGCAGCAGCAGCCGTTGTGCTGTGGAGTCGGCCACTCCAAGGGGATGCGAACTATAGTCAATTCGTAGTAACTAAAAAAAGCGAAAGGTCATTCATCAGTATTTTAAGATATTTTTAAAGTCAGATTTTTGTTTTTGATCTTTATCTGGGGCTATACCATTGACAGTCACAATCCGTGCGTCTTCTCGGGTCTTGGACTAGTCACAACTCATTCTTTGGATCCTGGATTCTTCACATCTGTTGTTGGGAAGTGTTAGAGGACGTGTGTATCTTAAAAGTTGGGACCTGCTGATTTTTTTTCAGATCTATATACATACGAAACATTGCATAGAACCTGGAAAATGTACCCCCGCTGCCATTCTGGACACTTTTCCCTTTCCATCTTGTTTCCCTCTGGGGCTTGTCTGAACATTTACTTTATATACTACCAATTTCATGACAATTTGTGGCAACGTTACCCTAGTCATGGAACATGGCCAGGTTTCAAAAGTAGATCATCCACAACATTTTTCACAGCTTTTTTTACCTTTAAATTACCAGAGGGGAAATGTGGTTTGAACCATAGGAAAAACGACCTGGTGGCCCTCCATTGCTTTTCAGGAGGTGGTGGTGCAGGAGGTGGTGGCCATTCTAGTAGAAGACCTGGGCTTCGCCGATGCTTCGGTCGTGGAGTCCTGTAGTGTTGCGCTGAAGAGTCCAGGTTGGGGCCATGGAAAATGGGGCCATGAGCAGCTAATTTGGTGGCGATTTTCAGAGGGAACATGGTGATTTCAACTGAATGGAATGTGGTTTTGCCTTAGATTTTGAGGGAAACGAGGGCATTTTTTGGGATGTGGAAGCCAGGTTTGAGGTTTCAAATCAGTGAAATTGGAGAAAGATGGAAAGACGTGAGCAAGGACCAGATTGTGTGGCTTATGAATGGCAGTTT